AAGGCTTGGCTGTTTGACAGAGAACCCTGATTGTCTTGGCCTATGGCGGTCTTCGCCTTGGCGTCTCCTGCGGCACAGCTGTCTGTGCAACTTGACCCTTGCTGGACCACTCACACCCTACAGGGACCTTCTTGCTTTTTAAAAACCTTTAGTTTGTCTCCTCCTCTTCCAGGGAGGCTAAAGTAGAGAGAGCAACTTGCTCAAGGCCCGGCCGCTCAACTTCTTGGTCACACATGGGAATTTGGCTGAGGTTTCCTACTCCCATACTCTAGTGCAAAGGTTTTCAACCTTTTTGAGTCCACGGCTCCCTTGATCAACTCCATTCTTTCTGCAGCACCCCTGTGGGACTCAGGAGCCCAGTTCTGTCGCCCCTTCCTTACAGAGCTAGTAGCCTCTCACTCTTTTTCAAACACCCTCCCTTGTGGAGGGTTCCCTCAGCCTCCTCTCCTCTCCCCTCTCCTTGGGAGTCCTCAGAGCATCTGCTGCTGCCCCCCCCCCCAAGAGAGGTGCCTCCTCACATTGCCCCACAGGGGCCTGGGAAGCACCTCCTGGCTAGCCCCAGAGGCACCATTCACCTGGAGAAGAAGAAGAAGTAGAGTTTGGATTTGATATCCCGCTTTATCACTACCCTAAGGAGTCTCAAAGCGGCTCACATTCTCCTTTCCCTTCCTCCCCCACAACAAACTCTCTGTGAGGTGAGTGAGGCTGAGAGACTTCAGAGAAGTGTGACCAGCCCAAGGTCACCCAGCAGCTGCATGTGGAGGAGCGGGGAAGCGAACCTGGTTCACCAGATTACGAGTCCACCGCTCTTAACCACTACACCACACTGGCTCCCACCACACTGGAGAGTTTGTATCAATAAACAGCTGCTGCAACAAACAGCCACACCAGCCTTTGGGAGGCAGAGATGCAAGAGGGCATCAAAGGAGGGAGGGAAGAAAGGAGGGACAGAGGCCAGTGTTGCCTGTGGCACCCCTGACCATCATTCAAGGCACCCCAGGTTGCCACGCCAAACTGGTTGAAAACCACTGCTCTAGTGACTCAGTTTCATGACTGCTTCTTGTTGTGTTGTTCTTCCATCTGTAGCATCCATGCAGTAGCTGAGAAGGGAGTTGGGTCTGCATGCCTTATATGTTGGAAGGTGGGGGGTCCAAGCAAGTCCTTTCCACCCATGCTGATCCCCTCCCATCCATCTGGCAGGTGGAGTCAGAGTCAGTTACTAGGGCATGGCTGGGGAGCCTTTGGGCCTTCCAGATGTAGCTGGACTACAACTCCCATCATCCTTGAGCAGGGGTCAGCAAACATTTTCAGCAGGGGGCCGGTTTACTATCCCTCAGACCTTGTGGGGGACCGGAAAGGGGGGAAAAAGAATTCCTATGCCCCACAAATAACTCAGAGATGCATTTTAAATAAAAGGACACATTCTACTCATGTAAAAACACGCTGATTCCGGGACCATCCGCGGGCCGGATTTAGAAGGCAATTGGGCCAAATCTGGCCCCTGGGCCTTAGTTCGCCTACCCATGTCCTTGAGCTGGGCTGAGGCTGATGGGAGTTCAGGTCCAACAGTAACTTGAAGGGCTACCAGGTCCCCCACGTAGGGAACAAAAAAAAAGTAGTATTACTTGGTGGCAGGAATAAAGAACGTGCATTGTCCCCAAAGAACGGTTTGATCCAAAATGTGTTGGGCTGCAGCTTCCTTCTTTCTTTCCTTTCTTCCTTTCTTTCTTTCTTTCTTTCTTTCTTTTTACAATAACCCACTGAAACTCACATGCAGAGGTTATACTTCCAATTAACAGTTCCAGCGACAGACAACTGATGCCAGGGAGGGAGTGTGTTCCCGCAGGTGGGGCAGGTCCCTGCTCTGCCAGTCCATTTGGTTTCCTTGCTAGTTGCAGAGGAAGCAAAATCTCTTCCTCCACAGCTAGCATGATAATCAAGGAAGCTGATGGAGGAGAAACAGATTGCTCTTCCACCATCTCCCCATCTCCGTCTTGTTGAAAGGCATTTCCCACTTCCGGCCTCTTTGATTCCATGCTGACCATGGAGGGAAGGGGGCTTCTGCTGTTCCCTGCTGGCTGCTAACTTCTTGAAAGGCTTGTAAATATTTTTTGCAGGCTAGTTATTTTGTGTGCTTATTTGCAAGACTGCAGAGAGATATGGAAAGTGCCACAGTGAAGCAGACTTGGGCTCCCCTAGATCGCTTGCAAATGTTGCTTTATGAAAACCAAGCATTACACTAGGCAGATCCATGGAAGAGTGTTGCCATGAAAGCAAAATGGAACCTCCACAGTATAGGCCGTATACCCCTGAATCCCAGATGAGGGAGGTAAAGGTAAAGGGATCCCTGACCATTAGGTCCAGTCGTGGCGGACTCTGGGGTTGCGGTGCTCATCTCGCTTTATTGGCCGAGGGAGTCGGCGTACAGCTTCCAGGTCATGTGGCCAGCATGACTAAGCCACTTCTGGCGAACGCCGTTTACCTTCCCGCCACAGTGGTACCTATTTATCTACTTGCACTTTGACGTGCTTTCGAACTGCTAGGTTGGCAGGAGCAGGGACTGGGCAACAGGAGCTCACCCCGTCGCGGGGATTCGAACCGCCGACCTTCTGATTGGCAAGTCCTAGCAAATGTTGCCTGTCATCTTCAGTGTATGTGGAAACGTCAAGTAGGTGTTTGGCATTGAGAAAGCTTTTGCCATGTATATGAGCCAATGGGGTAATTTCTAACAGTTCTTCCTGGGTTCTTAAGTGTTGCACCAATACTAGCCCTGGGTGTGGTAACTGGTGATCCCTCAGGGTGCGGTGGGGAGTTCGTTATGCCAAGGCCCTAGTGTTAATTAGGACAAATGACACACATTGTGTCCCATGGGCCAAGCTCTTGGGCAGAAAGAGCTGCGGCTGAAACACCTTGTTCCATATTTGCCCCAGGGCTTCTAACGTGCCTGGGTTCACATTCCAGTCCCCAGCGTGTGGCAGACTTCGCTTGTTTCTTGCCAGGGGATTTGATGGAATGGATGGAAAAACCTATTTTTGTGGACCATTTCACTCCTGTCAGTCAAATCTGCTTCCTTCCCACAGCTGCCTCCCAGAAGTCTTCCTAGTTGCAAACCACTGGGGCTAAATCTGCTTTGTTGGAAGAGCACAAGACCCTTTATCTCAGGGTTGTGGGTTTAAAGAGATTCCTGCTTTGGAGATGATTGGGCTAGAAGCTGCTAGATGACCTCATGGCTGCTCACTATGAGCTGAACCTCAGCCACTGAGAATCAAACAAGTCCCGTGCAAGCCCATGCTCTGGGTTCTGTTTTTTGTCATGCACAGTAGATAATCGTGGGATGCGGTGGCACTTGGTCTAAACCATGTTTCCCACCGGTGTTCCGCGGCAACAGTGTGCCGTGAGACGTTGCCTCGTGTGCCGCGAGATGCTGGAGGGAGGCGGGCGAGTCGGGCCGAGAAGGCGGGCGGCGGCGGCGAGGAGAGGCCGCGCCTCCTGCTGCTGCCTGGGCGCCTCTCGCACCGGAAGCGCTGCCTGGCGCCTCCGGCGACTTGCCTCGCTGTGGTCTCCAGAGAGACGGTCACAGCGCCCCTTTCTGCCCTCAGCTGCGCGGAGGAGAGCCAGAGAGAGGAATGCTCCTGCGCGGATCATGGAGAGGGAGCAGCGGAGCGTGGCCAAACGAACGCATGGACCTGGAGGGAAATCCTCTCGGGGGATTGAACGAGCTGAGAGAAGCCTTTCGAGGAGCTGCCGTGTCCCTGGAACCCTCAGCTCTGCTCAGCGCCGCCGCTCAGTTGCGCGTCCTCAGTCTCGCTCGCTGCCTCCTCCCACCCAACTTGGAGGTTCCCCAGCAGGGGAGGGAAAAAACTTTCACTTTTGTGCGTCCCTCCCGGCGTGACGCTGCCCTGACGTACGGGCGGGGCTTTATCTGGTGGTGTCCGCGAGATTTTTTTCGAAACAGGGTGCTCGCTGCCCAACATACACGTTGGGAAATCACTGGTCGTAAAACCGACAGAGCCTAGAGCTTGCAGATCAGAAGGCGGCGTAAATCCCCATGATGGGTGCGAGCCCTGTGCTCTGGCACGGACTGCTGTACAACTAGGATGTTTCGAAGCCGAGTGCAAGTAATAAATAGGTACGACTTTGCAGGAAGGTAACGGTGCGTGCACTGCTCTTGCTAGAAGCGGCTTAGTCCTGCTGGCCACATGACCCGGAAGCTGTGGACAAACGCCGGCTCCCTTGGTCAGTAAAGCGAGATGAGTGCCGCAACCCCAGAGTCGTCCACAACTGGACCTAACGGTCAGGGGTCCCTTTACCTTTACAGTAAGATAATAATAATATTATTATAATTTATTATTTATACCCCGCCCACCTGGGCAGCTCCCATCATCATCATCATCATCATCATAATAAATGCAATAAAACATCAAACATTAAAAACTTCCCTAAACAGAGCTGCCTTCAGATGTCTTCTAAAAGTCAGATAGTTGTTTATTTCCTTAACATCTGAAGGGAGGGCGCCAATACCAAGAAGGCCCTCAGAGCTGGACCTCAGTGTTTGAGCTGAATGATGGGAGTGGAGATTCTCCTTCAGTTACAGTGGGCCGTGGCCATTTAGGGCTTTAAAGGTCAGCACTAACACTTTGAATTGTGCTTGGAAACATACTGGGAGCCAATGTAGATCTTTCAAGACCGGTGTTATGTGGTCTCGGCGGCCACTCCCAGTCACCAGTCTAGCTGCCGCATTCTGGATTAGTTGTAGTTTCCGAGTCACCTTCAAAGGTAGCCCCACGTAGAGCGCATTGCAAAGTCAAGCAGGAGATAACCGCTCTGGCGAGACAGATGGGATGCTGGGGACTAGCATTACGTAGGTAGGTAGGGAGATCTGCAATCTACCAAACGTTGGGCTTTGCAGTCCCAGCTCAGCCCTCGGCCTCCAGCCTTGGCCACCACAGCTGTGGATCTCCCTGACCTGCTCTTTCTCTTGCCTGCTTCCTTGGCTGCAGCTTCCATCCCGTTCTTCATCTGCGAGGTTGGCCTTGTTTCCCCTATGCGCCGCGGCTTCTTCTGCAACGACAGCAGCATCAGGTACCCGCTGCAGCGGGCTGAGACCGTCAGCGACTCTGTGCTCATCTCCGTGGGAATCCTCATTGCCTGTCTAGTGGTGAGTCTTTCAGGGGAACGAGGGAGGGAACTGTGCGCTTTTGTCCTTTAACATCCTGTGCCGTGCCTTGTTCCTGGCAGCAAAACACCACCCACCCGACCATAGCATTTTGCAGATTTGGCTTATTGCATGCATTTATTGCATGCCTTTTCATCTCAGGTTCCTCTGAAGAGCTCAGGGTATACAAGACCCTCTTCCCACCAGACCCCCTTCTAGAACATCACAATATTCCTGATGTCACACGATATTCCCTTACAGTTTTTTGCAGGAGCCCTTCTTCTGTTTTCCTCCAGCACAGATGACTCTCCATCTCCATTTCATGCACTTGAGGAGGAATGGATCCTAAATCTTCCCAGGAGCAGTGGGACAGTATAGATTTGGAACAGTGGTTCGCAGAGGGATAGTTCAGAAGGCAGAAGCTGGGAAGTACTGGATGGGAAATAGCTAGGAGAAGAAGCACTGGGAGAGAGAGAGTTAACAGACTCACTTTCTCTGGAAAAGCGTCCATCCGCTCAGCCCAAGGTCAAGGAGAGCAGATAAAGTGCTGCTCAGAAAGCACAGTGGTTGACGTGGGTGACTAGGGAGGAAGTGGGTAGAACCCTTAATTGGGAGCAGCTTCGTTCCTAGGAAATGGAGTCTTTGTTCTCTCGCTATGATCATTAAAAAGACGTGGGTCGCGCTGTGGGTTAAACCACAGAGCCTAGGACTTGCCGATCAGAAAGTCGGCAGTTCGAATCCCCATGACGGGGTGAGCTCCCGTTGCTCGGTCCCTGCTCCTGCCAACGTAGCAGTTCGAAAGCATGTCAAAGTGCAAGTAGATAAATAGGTACTGCGGGAAGGTAAACGGCGTTTCCGTGCGCTTCTCTGGTTCGCCAGAAGCGACTTAGTCATGCTGGCCACATGACCCGGAAGCTGTACGCCGGCTCCCTCGGCCAATAAAGCGAGATGAGCGCCGCAACCCCAGAGTCGGCCACGACTGGACCTTAATGGTCAGGGGTCCCTTTATCTTTACCTTTATGATCATTAAAATTTCTAACTGGTAAGAGACTCCTTTCACTGTGTTCTGCTTATCTACTGCCAAAGGGAGGGAGAGGAAGATTGAGTCCCTGAAGCCTGACCCATGCAACCCTTTCTCCAGCACTATAGCCAAACTTAGTTCAAAGAGGAAAGTTTCCTCTCAGCCGTATTCATTTTTGATTTGGCTAGTGTGGAAGCTGTTCTCTGTGGAAGCCCATGGAACCCATTTGCTAGGTTCAGTAAATTTTTCCTTTCCTTTGGTTCTGATTGGCTAGCCCAGGGGCAGCTTATTGATGGCTGGGACAGTGCGAATCGCTGCTTGCCATTAAGAAATGTGCCCCACTGCCAGCGCTGGAATTGCTTGTGACCGGGCCGCCTTCTGTGTTCAGAGCCAGTGTGGTGTAGTGGTTAAGAGCGATAGACTCGTAATCTGGTGAACTGGGTTCGCGTCTCCGCTCCTTCACCTGCAGCCGCTGGGTGACCTTGGGCTAGTCACAGTTCTCTGAAGTCTCTCAGCCTCACTCACCTCACAGAGTGTTTGTGGTGGTGGAGGAAGGGAAAAGGAGATTGTTAGCCGCTTTGAGACTCCTTCGGGTAGTGATAAAGCGGGATATCAAATCCAAACTCTTCCTTTTCTTTCTTTCTTTCCAACGCAGATCACCCTGGGTGAAAGCTGCCGTGTGTACAGCCTGCCCCACAGCTCACGCTCCATAGTCTCCAACCGTTACGTGGCTGCCCTCTACAAGGAGATTGGGGCCTTCCTCTTTGGCTGCACTGTGGGCCAGTCACTAACCAACATGGCCAAGGTTGCTGTGGGCCGCCTCCGTCCACACTTCCTGGCCGCCTGCAGGCCTGACTTTGCTCACATCAACTGCTCTGCTGGATACCTGGAGGACTACATCTGCACTGGTGGCCCCTCAGAGGAGAAAGAAGCTAGGTGTGTATGGTGACATCTCCTCTCTCTCAAAGAGGGATGTCCTTCTGATGGTGATTGTAGGGTCTGGGTCAGTTCAGCTGAGAAGAGGCAGTAAATAAAAAGGTAAAGGACCCCTGGACGGTTAAGTCCAGTCAAAGGTGACTATGGTATTGTGGTGCTCATCTGGCTTTCAGGCCGAGGGATCTGGCATTTGTCCACAGACAGCTTTCCAGGTCATGTGGCCAGCATGACTAAACCACTTCTGGCACAAGGGGACACCGTGACGGAAATCAGAGTGCACGGAAACACCGTTTACCTTCCCACCACAGCAGTACCTACTTATCTACTTGCACTGGCATGATTTCGATCTGCTAGGTTGGCAGGAACCGGGACAGAGCAACAGGAGCTCACCCCGTCACATGGATTCAAACTGCCGACCTTCTGATCGACAAGCCCCAGAGGCTCAGTGATTTAGACCACAGCGCCTCCTCGGCCATTTAAGGCTTTGTAGGTCAAAGCCAGCACTTTGAATCAGAGGTGGATTTAGGGGAGTGCAACCGGTTCACCCACACCTGGTGCCACAGGGCCCCCCGCAACAGTGACTTAGAACAGAAGGCAAAAGGTGGGGGTGCCAGATTTTGGCGCCACAAAAAATTGAAAGCTGAAAGCCTGCTATTTCTTTGAATTGGGCGCAGAAACTAATTTGCAGTCAGGGCAGTTGGGCCATTATTGGTGTAATATGCTCAAATTGTCTTATCCGGGCTGCTGAATTCTGCACCAGCTGAAATTTCTGAACCAACTTGATGGGCAGCCCCATGTATGACACATAACAGTAATCTAAGTAAGAGGTTACCAGATTCTGAAAGGCAAAGGAGATGGGAGGAGCAAGGTTGGGACTTTCAAGGAGATGTCTAGAAGCTAGCATAAGTCTATAGCATACATTCCAGGGACTGGGATATGTTCATCATGACCTCTCTGCTACAGCTGAGACAGCTAGTTCTATTTATTTATTTCAAATATTTCTGTGCCTTCTTCCAGGGCAGGGCCCTCCAAAGGTGGCTCATACAGAAAAAACAAAAGATAAAAAATATATTCTGTTAATAAACTTAAAACAGCAGTCTGAAATATTATATAGCACAGTAGCTATGTAATGAAGTCAGTTTAAAATGAAGGGAAATCAGCAGTGGCTTCAACAATTATTATTGTTTTTTTAATGGCCCAGCATCTTAGTTAAAAGCAGATTAAAATAAGTAGATTTTCAAGGCCCACTGAAAAGCCAGTGGTGATTGAGTCAAGTGTGTATCCCATGAGAAAGAGTTCCACAGAAATGGGGCAACCACTGAAAAGGCCCTGTCTCTACTGCCTCCCAATGTAATTGATTCATATGGTGGGCCCGTGAGCAGGGCCTCCGAAGCTGATCCAGGCAGGTTCATACAGGTGCCAGCTGTCTTTTCAAACTACCTGGTCCCAAACAGTTGAGGATTTTAAATGTCAATTCCAACCCAGGGGAAGTTACTGGGGAACTCAATGGAATTTAGCACAAGTTATCCTTTGCAGGTCTCAGTTAAGAGGAGGGAGGGAGTTGAAGTCATGAGATATGGCACACAGGGACATCTCAAGATCTTTTTTTTTTTTTTTTTAATAATTTTTATTGGGTTTTCACATTTTATAAAGACAAAAACAAAACACATAACACCAAAACAAACATAGAAAACAACAACAACAACAAACATGAATAGTTCCAAAAAGTCTTATTTTCTAACCCTAGTCCTTGACTTCCCCCCACCCCCTCCCTTGCATCCCTGTTCTCAGGTTTATGTCAGCAAGTTAGCATTTCTTCCTTCTTAATATTAGTCCTTTTATAGAAACAAAAAATAAGTTTTCCCTAAGTTGGACCCCAATTCTCTTCCCTCGATTTCTCATTTTTTCTTAAGTAATTTCCTTATTACTAAACCCCTGGTCTTGAGTGTTGTTTAAGTTTATGCTTCCCTCCCTCCCATCCCCGCTTTGCGTCCTTTCCCAAGACATGTCCAAAATAACAGTTTTTAGCCTGGATTCCGCACATCCGAGGCTCTCAAATCTATTTCAGTCCCTCTCCGCCGGTTTTGTTGGTAGTCCTCTTTGTCAGTCACCGAGTCTCGAAAGATTTCATTAACATTCAATCCAATCAGTCCATAGTCTCTTCCCATATTTATAAGCAACTGCTGAGGAATTTCCACAAGGCCTGAGTCTTGGTGATGGTCGAAATCAAAGTCTATGTGGAGGCCCCAATTGTACTTCTTTATTTCGAGTTCCTGAGTTCCATAAACTCCCAGGGCCTCCACTTTCATCTTCTGTATCTTTCGTAGGCTTGGAATAGATTCCATCCAATGGTCTCCTTGTTTGTATTCTCCAAATATCGGCTTCTGGTTAGTATTTTCCCACATAACTTGTTCTCTTTCTTGTTTTGTCTTCTCCTCTTCTTTGTTTATTATTTCAAATTCAGCTGTGGGTTCTTTCTCATTCAAGTCCTCATTACATTCAGCAGAGCTACTTGTTTCCAAATCCAAGGCCGTCAGTTGTTTACTCATAGCTGTAGTCTGCTCCTGTAAGGTTCCCACCAGTGAAAACATCCTTTCGATTTCTCTCAGTATCTTTCCACCCACAGCCATTGTAATTCCACAGAATTCCCCCTAGAGGGAATCTGGTTACTGGATGGTCTTTTCTCCAACAATCCTCTGTCCTATTATTGTTTCTTTGTTTCCCAAAATTTTAGTTCAATTGTAACTCCTTTTTATCCGGAGAGGTCTTAAGTAGCAATTTTTTCAGTATTAACAGTCCATTTGACAGCTTTGACAGCTGTCAAATTCTGCTCCTCTATACAGGCTCCAAAGCAGATCGCTCCCGGGCTCGGGAGGGAGGGTTGTTTACCACAAAACAAAAACTCTTCCAACACTCCACTCTCCTGCTTAAATTTGCTTTTCCAAATCTTGGAAGTTACTGTCTTTTTTAAAACTCACCCTTTGCAGGGTAGGCACTCCAGCTTAGCTCTTATATCGTTGCTCTGGATCGTCTGCAAGGGGGGGGATGGGGACTTCCTTTTGGCACACCCCCCCGGTCGTCTCAAATTCAAAAGGTAAAAGTTTTTAAAGCTCAGTTCCAAATTACTCACGGGTTCTTTTTTTTCAGTCCGAATTTCAAGGAAGGAAGTCAGCGCTCTCCAGTTATGGCTCGCGGCTTCGCTCAGCGGCAGTAGCGATCGACTCTCAGTGCCGCGCCGTCCCCCGTATCCCCTCCATAGCCTTTAAAAAGGCTCTTCGCGAATCAGGGGGGGCGCTTAAGGCACCCGCCGAGTCTTCAGTCCGCAGGCATCTGCACCTGCGGTTTTTAAGGGTCCCCGTGTCGCCGGCACGGCAAAGACCCATCCACCGCTGAGCCGATTCCCTCCGGAGCTCGGAGGGAATCCGCCATTCCCGGATCGCGCCAACCCGGAAGTCGGGACATCTCAAGATCTGGGAAGGAGAAAGATTCTGTTGCACTAGGATAATCTGGAGAATGAGAAATAAGAAACCTGGCAGCTACATGCAGAAACTATCACCTTTGAGTGCCAGGTGTGGGAGACAAATGTGAGAGAAGGGCTGTCACTTTCATGCCCTGTATGTTATCTACTCGGAAATATCTGAGTCGGTGTTTTGGAAACTGAGTTTGGAAGCTGAACAAGTTGGGCCTTGACTTTGACCCACCTGTGCTGCTCTCATGCTCTCCTGGGACCAGAACCAGCCTGGCAGTGCATGTAATCCAAGCAGTCATGGGGGCAGCAAGATTTTGGGGTGTATCAGAAGTGCTGTGAAGTAGCAGGTGAACTCTGGCAGGTATGCCCCATGCAGTCATTTTGAACCAAAGGGGTAGGGAAATCTCGGATCACACAATTCGCTCCCTGTCATTTCCACTGGCACTGATCCCCGCTACTCTCATTCTGTAGGCAGGTATATAGCCAACATTTATAGCCTTTTCCTCCAAGGATTTGTCTAATCCCCTTTCAAAGTTGTCCAGGTTGGCGGCCATCATTGCCATTTGTGGTAACAAAATCATATACAGTCATACCTCGGGTTGTGAACGTGATCCGTGCAGGAGGCACGTTCACAACCCGCAGTGTTCGCAGCCTGAAGTGCTGTGTCTTGTGCGTGCGTGTGATGTGATTCAGCACTTCTGCACATGCGTGTGATGTCATTTTGTGTTTCTGCACATGCGCGAGTGCCAAAACCCAGAAGTAACCCATTCCGGTACTTCCAGGATCGGCGTGGTCCGCAACCCAAAAAAGTGCAACTCGCAGCGTTCGTAACCCAAGGTATCACTGTACCTTGGTTTTGGAACAGCTTAGTTCCTGAACATTTTGGCTCCCAAACGCCGCAAACCCAGAAGTGACTGTTCCAGTTTACGAACTATTTTTTGGATGCCGAACGTCTGACGGGGCTTACAGGGCTTCTGGTTGGCTGCAGGAAGCTCCGTTTTGGTTTCCAAATGTTTTGAAAGTCGAACGGACTTCCGGAACAGATTCCATTCGACTTCCAGGGTACAGCTGTACTTTTAACACTGTGTAAAGAAACATTTCCATTGATTCCTGAATCTCTCACTGTTCAACTTCACTGGATGACGTGTTGTCAATAAAATATAACTAGACAGTGGCTCCTTCCTAATGTAGGCTTACTTCTAGGGACAGGTGGGCTCAGGCCATCCTGTAGTATATTTTACATTTCTTCTGTGGAAAGGGGTTTGAGCCATCACTGAACAACACTGGCCTGCTTTGGATAGAGCTGAAGCAACTGACACCCCGCCCCCCGAAATGGCAAGGCCCGGTGTGTACGTTTATTCTCTTAGTTCTGGAGGGACTCAAGTGAGATGGATGCATCTTGGCTGAAGAGGCAACAGGTACAAGTGGGATAGAGAGAGCTTATCCAGTCCAGAGTAGACGATGGGAGCAGGCCTGTGTGTTGAAGCCTGGGCTGCCTTGAATGCTTAGAAGGTGAGATGAGGGTTTTGATTTTAAAAGCTAAAGGGACACATGCAGTTGGGAGTGTAAAACCCTCCCTCGCCTGCAACTCACCTCCTTCCCAGCCCCTTTTCTCCCTGCCAAGGCTCCAATAGGGATTTTATGTGGTTTGTTATCAGCTGGCTGAGGTCATTCACCCTCAAAAGAGCAGAGAGATGTTGGGAAGAGAAGCTGGGCCAAAGTTCGGCATCCCTTAAAAGAACAATGTGCACATTGTAACATAGAATCTTGTCGCTAGTCACCGTTGATCTAAAACCCAAAGACTTAGGTGTCTAGCTTTCACACCTTAACCAAAGACTATTTTATTTTTGTTTTGTTTTGTTACAAGTACAGTGGTACCTTGGTTCTCAAACTTAATCCGTTCTGGAAGTCTGTTCCTAAACCAAAGCGTTCCAAAACCAAGGTGCACTTTCCCACAGAAAATGGATTAATCTGTTCCAGATTTTTAAAAACAACCCCTAAAACATGAATTTTACTATCTAACAAAACAATAAAATGAAAGCATTAAACAATGTTTTGCAGTCACACAATCAATCAATCAGGAGCTGAACTGGGTTCCACACAGTCACACACACACACAAAAAAGAACCACAAAAACGCAAAATAAATAGCAAAAACAGACAGACCTCAGCATAACACTCTAAACAGAAGTGTGGCTCTCAAAATGGAGCACGTTTGGCATCTGAAAAAAGTTCGCAAACCAGAACACTTACTTCTGGGTTTGCAGTGTTTGGGTTCCAAGTTATTTAACTATCAAGGCGTTTGAGAACCAAGGTACCACTGTATATCGCGCCTTTCTGCCAAGGAGCTCAAGGTGGTCTTCCTTGCAAGAAGGAGAGCCCCTGGCCCAAACTCATGCAGTGAGCATCATGGCCGAGTACAGATTTGGGAGGGGGGAGGGGCTCTCCTTCCCTTGTCCAACACTTTAACCACTTCCTTGAACCTGGGTCACCACACAGTTAATATCTGGGATATCTTGGTCTTGTTGAAATGAATGGGTTAGATTGCATTTAACTCAGTGGGACTTACCCAAGCTGTTGCCCAACATTTTCTCAGTTGAACCCTACTGCTAGGAAGTAGGAATCGAACAGAGGGAAGTTGCTTTGCATAGGTGGTGTGAGGTGTCTGAAGGAACAGTATTGTAAATAGGTTACAGGGACTGCATTGTCATGATCTGTGAGCAGAAATCCTCTGCCGTAATAATCTAGCAGACTGCATGCTCTGTTCTTATCTAACAAAGCAATCATTTTCTCTTGCAGGAAGTCATTCTACTCCGGCCACGCCTCCTTTGCCATGTATACCATGATGTACCTGGTGGTAAGTCCCTGTGCACAGTTTTACATGTGGAAGGTCTTCAGGTGGTTGTGTTGCGGGCCACCTTGTGAGCCACAGGGTAAAAGGGGGCCTGATTCACCGTGCAAGCAGCTGCGTCACTGTCCACAGGAAATACAGCTGTTCAGAGCAGCAGCTTCGTTCCATCAGTCTGAGCTGCTTCCTGCATAATTCCAGGAAATATTTACACAGTGTGGTGAAAATAGGTTATGCATATGAGGAGCTGCTTCATGTGGATAGTTTGTCGTGTGGAGCAGCCTCCGCCAAGTTTGTTTGGCTGCTCGCAGGTGAGTGAATGAGACCTGACAGCTCTACCTAGCAACCCATTCTGGGCACAGTGGTACCTTGGTTTGCAAACTTAATCTGTTCCGGGAGTCTGTTCAACTCCCAAAACCGTTCAAAAACCAGGGCGCAGCTTCTGATTGGCTGCAAGAGCTTCCTGCACTTGGACATTTGGCTTCTGAAAAACGTTCACACACCAGAACACTTACGTACTTCTGGGTTTGTTTGTTCAAGAACCAAGGTACCACTGTACCAGAAAATTCCACAGACTGGTGGGGAAGTAATTTGGAAATTGACTCTTGGAGAAGTCTTCGTTCTCCAAAGCATCTTTTTGAAGGCCCTTTTCTGCATTCCCTTAACTGTGAATTTACATAAAAAAATTCCTTCCAGTAGCACCTTAAAGACCAACTAAGTTAGTTCTTGGTATGAGCTTTCGTGTGCATGCACACTTCTTCAGATACACAGAAGTGTGCATGCACACGAAAGCTCATACCAAGAACTAACTTAGTTGGTCTTTAAGGTGCTACTGGAAGGAATTTTTTTGTTTTGACTATGGCAGACCAACACGGCTACCTATCTGTAACTGTGAATTTACATGTTATTTGTATTTGTTTATTAAAATCGTTTATATACCGCCTTTAAGTAAGAAGCTACCATGTGGTCACATCAATATAAAAAGAAATAAATTTAACTTTGCTCCTGGACTTACATTGCCTAGATATCTTGCAGGGGCTTTCCACTCCTTCCCAGAGGAGGAGCAGAAGGAGGGTGCTCTTCAAGTATACCCAATTATCCTTGGTTTATGGGACACCTCCCAACCCCAAACTTAAATTGGTTTAAGAGTTATTCCCTCCACCCAGACAACATCAGGAATTATAGTTTGGAGGGGGATCTCGAACACAAAACTTTGTTGTTGTTTTTTTAAAGATATTTATTGAGATTTTCAAATTATTACAAAAAGAAAAAAGAAAAATACAAAATAAAAATAGTTAAAAACAATTCAATCTTTCCATTACTTATCTTTCATTTGCTTGTTTCCCGGACCTCCTCACACCTCCCTTTTTTGTATTCCAATTCAATTTGTTAGTTCAGCAAATCCTTTCCCTCTTTGTTTATCCTAGTCTTTAATCATAAAGTATTATAACATTAAAGTTTTACCTGTTAATAATCCATTTTTTCATATTCCTTTATAGCATTACAGCGAAAAACCACTTAGCTTCTATCCAACATCTTTCTAACATTCATTAATTTTCGAACACAAAACTTTGCATCCTCACCAAGCTACAACCCCTAAGGTGCTGCAGGGAGACCATTCCAGCAAAAACTGGTATAAAACTCTGATTAAGTTTGCAGGGTAAATATAGTTGGGATGAGAAAAATCCATGGAAGGAAGAGTCTGGCACCAAGCCAGGAAAGGCTTCCAAGAATCCCTGGAGCTTTTCCACTGAGGAAGGAAAAGGTGGCTGGCTGGGGCAGTTAATTTCCCTTGCTGACCAAACAATCTAAAATTGAATGTTAAAGAAGTAGAAGCATTAAGACAGAAATGGGGAAACTGTGGACCTCCAGACGGATTTGGGTTCCCGCCAGCCCCCACCAGCCTGACGGGGGATGATGGGAGTTGTTTTCCCACAACAGCTGGAGGGTCACAGGTCCGTTCCCCCCCCCCAAGTTGAACAGGAGAAGTGTTGCTTTTAACAGCCATTTTTTCTTACATTACAGCTGTGTTTTGTTCCTAAAAATTGCCGGGGGGGGGGGTGTCTGCTGCTACTGAAATTATAATGAAACGGTCTTCATATTGATTAGATGGAATGAGAGGGCTTGTAAGCAGATAAAGAGGTTGGAAGTGAAAATAGAAACATTTTATACTAACACGTCCCACTTGTTGACCAGGGACTGCCCCCCCCCCAAAAAAATCTGGTACCTGGCTGGTCCTGGTGAGTCACTGCGCCTTTTGAGGGTATTTTGGAGATACCTCTTCAGTTACGTATTAGTGGCTGATGTTAGGTTTGTTCAGGTTTTAGACCTGTCCCTTGGGTTTCTAAAACCCGCTTTTACCTGCCCGAACCTTCAGATCTTGCTCTGGGTGACTCCATCAAGGGAAGTGAGGTGGGTTTTTTGTAGCGGCACCATAGAGAAGGGAAAACCAAGAGACTTTCAAGGCGCCTTCTCTATGGTCTTTTCAGCACCTTTTTATCCACTTGTGAAATAGTATTTATTTATACATACATACCCTGCCCATCTGGCTGGGTTTCCTCAGCCACTCTGGGGAGCCCCAGCCACTAGCCGAAAAGGACGCAGGGCAAAGCGCTGCATCTGCGCATGCACATGGAGCAGTTTGTACTTCTGCGCATGCACGAAGCACGATTTAGCGCTTCTGCGCATACGTGAGCAGCAAACCCAGAAGTAACCCATTCCGGTACTTCCAGGTTTGCAGCGGACGTTCGCCGGAATGGATGCTAGATGAGGTGGACGTTCACGGAGGTATTACTGTAATAATGAAAAAGCAATACAGTGGTGCCTCGCAAGACGAAATTAATTCGTTCCGCAAGTTTTTTCTTCTTGCGAGTTTTTCGTCTTGCGATGCACGGTTTCCCATAGGAATGCATTGAAAATCAATTAATGCGTTCCTAGGGAAACCGACTTCAGACCAGGTCCGGGGACAGTCTGTCCCCCGACCTCTTCTGAAGGCTGGGGGGGGGACAAGGGCTTTTCTTCCCACCCCCAGCATTTTAAAAAACCCCGGGACAGCGGAGGGCTTCTCCGCTGTCCGGGGCGATCTTAAAATGCTGGCGGGCAGCATTTTAAAATCGCCCCGGACAGCGGAGGACTTCTCCGCTGTCCGGGGCGATTTAAAAGCTCCTGGGAAGGCAGGCAGGGGGGACAAAGACATTTGCCCCCCGCCCTCCTTCAGAAGAGGTCCAGGACCTCTTCTGAAGGCTGGCGGGGGCGAAAGTCTTTGCTCCCCCCCGCCTGCCTTCAAAAGCTGTCCGGCCAAGGCTTCGCAGACCTGCTTGCGGTGAGTTGCCGGCATGCCGAAGCCTGCGCGCAGAGATCAGCGCGCCCAGGCTTCGCGGACCTCTCCGCAAGCAGCGGCAGCGCTGCCGCTGCTTGCTGAGTGTTGCCGGCATGCCGAAGCCTGCGCGCGCTGAGATCAGCGCGCCCAGGCTTCGCGGACCTCTCCACAAGCAGCGGCAGCGCTGCCGCTGCTTGCGGTGAGTTGCCGGCATGCCGAAGCCTGCGCGCGCTGAGATCCGCGCGCCCAGGCTTCGCGGACCTCTCCTGCCTTCAAAAGCCGTCCGTGATAGCGGGAAGCGCTTCCCTGCTATCCCGGACTGCTTTTAAAATGCTGGCGGTGGGGAGCAAAGCCTTTCGGCCCCCGCCAGCCTTCCTGGACCTCTTCTGAAGGCCGGGGGGGGGGGGAAAGGCTTTGCTCCCCACCGCTAGCATTTAAAAGAGGTCCCCGGAGATTTCCCTATGGGCTTTCGTCTTGCGAAGCAAGCCCATAGGGAAATTCGTTTTGCGAAGCGCCTCCAAAACGGAAAACCCTTTCGTCTAGCGGGTTTTCCGTCTTGCGAGGCGTTCGTCTTGCGGGGTACCACTGTAAAACATCAAACATTTAAAACTTCCCTAAACAGGGTTGCCTTCAGATGTCTTTTTAAAAAGTCAGATAATTGTTTATTTCCTTGACATCTGAAGGGAGTGTGTTCCACAGGGTGGGCACCACTACCAAGAAGGCCCTCTGCCTGGTTCCCTGTAACTTCTCACAGGGAGGGAACTGCCAGAAGGCCCTCAGAGTTGGACCTCAGCGTCCGGGCAGAACGATGGGGGTGGAGACGCTCCTTCAGATATACTGGGCCAAGGCCGTTTAGAGCTTTAAAAGTCAGCACCAACACTTTCAATTGTGCCTGGAAACGTATTGGGAACCAAGGAAAGGGTATGTGCAGTCTTTGGTTGTTCTTTGCATATAAATAAACTAATTGATACCGGAGTCGTTTCTAGTGCTTGAATAAGGAAATCCATGCACATGTTAACACCAAAGCACTGTGCTAAGATATACCATGCCATTTCATGTGCCTGGTTCATTCTGAGCTGTTGAAAACCTAATTGCCCTAAAATGATGTTAGTCTGGTTTTCCTTAATCAAAAAACCAAGCACCCTCTTTGCTTTTGAATTGGTGCAGGGCTGTCTACCAGAGAGTAAATTAGTACAGCAATGGGAGAGAGCCTCCAGGGATGTCTATGGTTTCATTTGCACCTGGCAGGGGGAGGGCTCATGCAGTGGTGTTTGAGAGTAGACCTTGTGTAAATTATCTCACGCATACACAGTTGGATCCCTCTTTTCTTCTGTGAAATGTTGGAGGATATGCGCATTTATACTAGGCTCTGGGAAGAAAGTGGAATGTGCATGATTTAGATGGAAGTGGATGGGAACCAGGAATTTTGGCTCCAGGTGAAGTTATTGGAGTCAGCAGACATACCTTTCTCTACGGCAATTTCCTGTTATGAAATGCGGAAGACGTAGATTATGATCTCCTCCTTGAGGGCTTGGGCTTAAAGGCTTAGCAGATGTGGATTTGCAGGCTCCTGTGAGCTTGTCAGCTGCAGAGCAAAGGAGGGCACAGTGCCGCCTCAGTGTCTTGTGAGAAACTGCCAATAGGGCTTCAGAAAGACCATGCGAGACCAAAATGGGACTCCAGAGTCCTTGGGGCTTTGGTTTGTGCCTCCTATTCCCAGTTTGGCTATTTTTATTTTGTTTGTTTATTATTATTTTTGTTGTTGTTGTGGCTTCTGAGAATCTGTCATGCTTTACTCTCCTATATTTAGAAGAGGGATTTGCCTGGCAGGCTAACAGGGACTCTTCCCCTGTGGGAGATCAGTCTGGAAACAGGGAGTGGCTGAGAGGAGGAAGCGAGATGGAGATGGAGACACAGGACCTGTCTGGCTGTCTGGTTTCCCTGAAACAGATGTGGGCAGCCTGCGGCTCCTGGGCCACGCGTGGTCTTTGGCCTAATTTAATCTAGCCCGTGGCCTGTTTTCATGTAGGTGTTGTTAGAGGGGAAGAGGAACGGGGAAGAAGTTGTCCTGCACAACTTTGATTCTGACCATGCTCCTCACCAGCATGCAGCTAGGACAAAATTACCTCCAATGGGAATGTGGTCCTCAACAGAAAAAACAAAATTGCTGCTCTATGACAGGGTGCAAAAACTTACCGTACTTTTTGGTGTATTAAAAGTAAAGGGACCTCTGACCATTAGGTCCAGTCACGGGCAACTCTGGGGTTGCGGCACTCATCTCGTTTTATTGGCCGAGGGAGCCGACGTACAGCTTCTGGGTCATGTGGCCAGCATGGCTAAGCCACTTCTGGTGAACCAGAGCAGCACACGGAAACGCCATTTACCTTCCCGCCGGAGTGGTACCTATTTATCTACTTGTATGTTGACGTGCTTTCGAACTGCTAGGTTGGCAGGAGCAGGGACCGAGCAACAGGAGCTCACCCCATCACGGGATTTGAACCGCCGACCTTCTGATCGGCAAGTCCTAGGCTCTGTGGTTTAAACCACAGCACCACCCACATCCCCTTTCGGTGTATAAGATTTGGTTTCCACCCTTAAAAATCATGCTAAAAAGTAGGAGTCGTCTTATATACGCGTAGTGCATAGGGTGGACGTTAGATTGGTTGCTGCAGCATCTGTCAGCGGCTATTGTGTGTGTTATTGGTTGATGCGTCAATGGGTGGTGTTGATTGGCTGATGCTGCGGTAATTGGGTGGGCGATTGGCAGCTTCTGCCAGTGCGTGGACAGATGGGAGGCAGATTTAGCAATGCGTGCAGGTGAGCAATTAATTTTCGGCATTCCTCCCTTAAAAAAGCTCAACAACTTTTTGCCATCTCCCATTTTCTGAAATTTCAGTGCCAAAAAATAGGGGCGTCTTATAGACAGAAAAGTACAGTATTCTATTTCTATACACTGGTACCTGTGTACATACGCTTCAGGTTACATACGCTTCTAGTTACACACCCTTCTAACCCAGAAATAGTGCTTCAGGGCACTTTGCTTCAGGTTAAGAACAGAAATCGGGCTCTGGCGGCGCAGCGGCAGCGGGAGGCCCCATTAGCTAAAGCGGTGCTTCAGGTTAAGAACAGTTTCAGGTTAAGAACGGACCTCCGGAACAAATTAAGTACTTAACCCGAGGTACCATTCTACTGCCCTTCATCTGACAATCACAGGGTGGTTTACAATATAAAAACCCCAAAATATATACAATAACCAAAGAAAAACCAATCTTCTTGGACTATAACTCACACCAGCCCCAGCCTTAATAGCTAGTTATCAGAGATTATGGGAACTGTAGTTCAGCAAAATCTGGAGAGCTATAGGTATCCTCCCCTGTCCAATGAAATATCTTCCGCCACCCACGTTTGTAAAAACCGAGGTTCGATGGGCGGCTGGCAAAATCCAATTTAAAAAATGTAAAAACACGCAGTGGAAGCCATTTGACTTCCGAGGCGCATTCGAAAACGGAAGCAATTGCTTCCAGGTTTTTAGTGTTCATATTCTGCATCGTTCAGCTTCTGAGACACTCGAAAATCGAGGTTCCACTGTATACCGGAATATATGCACATCTATACATGTGCGCACACAAAGTCGAGTAGGAGATCAGTTTTGCAAGGTGAGCGTCGAAGGAACACACCAAGAAAACAGATTCACCGTACATCTGAAACAATGAAGCAGGCAGTTGTCTCTTTGGCCTTCCTTCTGACAGCTCAAGACAGCATATGCGTGACCAAAGTCTTGGTCAAGACTTTGGTCATGATATTATGTTCGCTGACTGGGAACAGTTATGGACCACCGGTATAAAGTTTACGGCATGTAATGCCTTAAGAGAGAATATTATGAAAATGATTTATAGGTGGTACATGACCCCAGTCAAGCTTGCAAAAATTTATCATTTGCCCAATAATAAATGTTGGAAATGTAATGAGACCGAAGGAACTTTCTACCACCTTTGGTGGACGTGCCCGAGGATTAAGGCCTTCTGGGAAATGATCTATAATGAAATTAAGAAGGTCCTTAAATGTACCTTTCATAAGAAACCAGAGGCTTTTCTCCTGGGCATGGTCGGCCAATTGGTGTCAAGGAAGGATAGGACGTTTTTTATGTATGCTACTATAGCAGCAAGGATTCTCTTAGCAAAGTATTGGAAGACACAAGAACTACCCATGCTGAAAGAATGGCAGACGAAGGTGATCGATTATATGGGACTGGCGGAGATGACTGGCAGAATCCGTGACCAAGGAAAAGAGACGGTGGAAGAAGATTGGAAGAAATTTAAAGTATATCTTAAGAACTGTTGTAAAATTAATGAGTGCTAAAATGTCAAGGGAAAGGAAAAAAGCAGAATTACAGCTGTAATTGATTAAGTAAAAGAAGAAGGGGAAAAAAGAAAAGGAGTAATTAGTTAATTGATGTGAGAGGTTGCTGAAGAAACTTTAAAATAAGGATGCAGAAAAGGGGAGGCATGGGGAAGTCAGGGAAGTAAGGTTTATGAAAAAGAGGTCTGGAAATTATACGTGTTTTTATGTATTGTTTGTTTTTGTATTGTGTATTGTTTTGTCTTTAATCTATGTTGGAAAATTAATAAAAAATTCATTAAAAAAAAAAGACAGCATATGCGTGGGCTGTCTCTGTTTATCTGTGCTGCAGCCCTGGGAGCTAGGTTTGGCAGAGAGGTACTGACCAGCCCAAGGTCATCCAGTGAGATTCATGGCTGACTGGGGATCTGAACTGGGGCCTCCCCAGTCCCAATCTTCACTCTCCCTACATTGCAGCGCTCGCTCCCTGCCTTTTGCTCTCTTTACCTAGGGAAGCTTAAGCCACCATAAGCTTGTTATCCTTCAAGGGGCCACCGAATTCTTTGCTGGCTTTGCTGCAGCTGACTTAGTGGGGCTGCTGCTCTGTAATTTACCCATACATTGTAGGTTGAACATCTCTGCCTTCCCTTAATAAACCCCCTAATGTCCCATTCCCCTTCTGTATTTGGGAGTCTGATCCTTCCCTTTGCATGCTTCTGTTGTTTTCCTTTAAAAAAATGTTTTTCAGGTTTATACATTTCACTTAATTCACAATCATTTTAACATTTCAGAACTTGACTTCCTTCCCCCTCTTTCTGCGGTTCCTTAAATTTCTTTTTAATATCTTCTGCATATCCTAATTAACTTAATTTGCTCATTTATTAATCTATTTTAAATATATACTCTTATAAAACTGTAGGTTGTTAAAATAATTCTGCCAATGTTCTTATCTGTTTCTAATTTATCTGTAAATATTCAATAAACCACTTCCATTCTTTTATAAAAAGTTTGTTATCTTGATTTCTTATTATTCCGGTAAGATCCACCATTTCTGCATATTCCATAAGTTTTTGTATCCATTCTTCCTTTGCTGGGACTACTGGTTATTTCCATTTTGGGGTGGGTAACATTCTTGCCTCTGTAGTCGCATACATGAATAAGTTTCTATACCGTTTAGGTAGTTCTGTCCCTATAATTCCCAAAAGAAAAGCTTCTGGTTTTTTTTACAAATGTTAATTTGAACATCCTTTTCAATTCATTATATATCATTTCCCAGTAAGCTTTAACCTTACTACAAGACCACCCCATATGATAAAAAGAACCTTCTTTCTCTTTACATTTCCAACACTTATTTGATTTAGATTTATACATTTTTGCCAATTTACTTGGTATTAGATAGGGCCTGTTGTTTCCAATGGACTGGGGTCCTTGTAGGTCTCTGGCTGATGTCTCAAGGTTCAAGATGTATATAAACCATGGGTAGGCAAACTAAGGCCTGGGGGCCGGATCCGGCCCAATTGCCTTCTAAATCCGGCCTGCTGACGATCTGGGAATCAGCGTGTTTTTACATGAGTAGAATGTGTCCTTTTATTTAAAATGCATCTCTGGGTTATTTGTGGGGCATAGGAATTCATTCTTGCGTTTTTTTCCAAAATATAGTCCCCTCCCCACAGGTTCTGAGGGACAGTGGACCAGCCCCCTGCTGAAAAAGTTTGCTGACCCCTGGTCTAAACGGATTGGCAAAACTTCCCTCAGAAGTTCTCTGTGCTAACAGCCTTTTTCTGCCTCTTCTTCCCCCAGTTTTACTTGCAGGCCCGCTTCACGTGGCGGGGAGCTCGACTGCTGCGTCCATTGGTCCAGTTTGTGCTGCTGATGCTTGCATTGTACACAGGACTGACCCGCATCTCTGACTACCGGCACCATCCGTCGGATGTGGTTGTGGGGCTGCTGCAAGGGGCACTTGTGGCTTGCTGGGTGGTGAGTTCTGATTCTGCCCTTAGCTGACCCTTTCTCTTGTCTTTTGGGGGGGGGGGAGAGTGTCGCTCCCTGTTGAGGTTTGAGAGAGAGAGAGATCTGGATGCGGAAACCCCACCTTCTGATTGCTCTGCAAATCTTACTTAGCAGCTCCTCCTCTTCCAAGCGCATCAGAGGGGAGAAAACCATTTCAAGCAAGTGAGTTGAGGTTCTTTGGGAGTGAAATTCTGCAACCAAAGTTCAGTTCTGTGTGACTGTACGAAGGCAAAGCATTCCTAACCAAGCCTGCTTCTAGTTCTCTCTGTGGGGATCGGTGTTTCTGGCAAACTGTATTTGTTTATGCATTAAGAACACTTACGTTGCATTTCTGTTAGGAAACGTTAAGAAAAAGCCGCCTGTTTACAGGAGTGGAAAGGGCAACCACATACCTTCAGGAAGCCCACAATAAGAGCCTGAAGGCAACAAGGCCTCTCCACCATTTGTCCACCAGAAACTCATATTCAGGGATAGACTGCCTCTGAACATGGAGGGTTGATTCAGCTATGATGGCAAATAGCCAGTAACAGACATGGCCAAGAGGGATTTGTTTATTCCCCTTTTAAAGCTGGACAAGCCAGGAGCCATGTCCACATCTTGTGGCAGCAAATTGAGTCAGATATGGCCTGTGCCAAAATGTTTATGCAGAACCCAGGAATGAAGATTCCTTGCTTGTAACCTGCTAGCTTCTTTGAGTGACCCTGAATGAGTATTGAGAAGAGAGAAGCTCTAATCCTTCATTTCATAAATTTCAATATGCTGTCACCTTCTGTCTTCTTTTTTCTAAACTATAGTGCCCCAAACACATTAGCTTTTTCTTGTAGGGGAAAATGCCCTTAATCTCTGATTGTTCTGGCTTTTCATTGCTTCCCCCATTTTCTATAAAGTCGCAAGAAGCTCTGTGGTTGCAATGCTTGGCAGGTTGCATTGCGTGTTATACTAAGTGATGCAGAAAAATCCACTTGGATGAAGGGAGCAGGGGTTTGGTGTGAGCCGCCAGGAAATAACTAAGGATGGGCACACCCTTGCTAGCATTGTGTGCAGGCGGCCGGGAGGAAATCCTTCAATTTCCTACCCTGGCTATGGGATCCCTGCTCCACCCATCAGCCTCCAGTCAAGGAAGTATGTTGAACCCTGGAGTTGAGATTCCTAGGAGCTGGGAATAGAATCAAGGAATCTTAGCTCAGTAATCATATCCCTCGCTGTGAAGGAGGAACGGGTTCTTAATGTTGATAGAGTGCAGTGAAGAATTATGCACACAGTACGTGTACGTGGCTCACTAGTGTAATGGGATTGATGACATGAACCTTTGAAATGTTTTTTGTGCCTAAACTGATGTCAAGGGAGGGTAGGGGCAATGTTTAATTTCTAAAAGGAAAGGTAGAGAGCCATGGAAGGATGCCCTGTTCCTTAACACCATGTATGTTGTGGACAGGCCTGTAAAACAGTTCATTATTATGACCGCTGCATTGAAAACTCTTAGCCAGGCCTTCCATGGGCTTGGCAGTGAGGATATCCTTTGAAAAATGACCAGGTCCTGTAGAGAAGTGGTCTGTGACCAGTGCCAGATTTACATACAGTATAAGCTAAAGAAGCTATAGCTTAGGGCCCCACTCTCTTGGGGACACCAAAAAATTTAAAGGGGAATAAACCCTGGATGTTCATTTCCAAAATATAAGATAAAAAACAAATAAAATAAAACCTACATACAGCAACAGTGTTTTGTGTTGTGTTGGCTCCTACGATGTAAGTAATGGGCCCTGCCTGCTAGCCTGCAACCTACAATATCACTCATTTCTGTAATAATAATAATAATAATAATAATAATAATAATAATAATAATAATTTGTACCCTGCCCATCTGGCTGGGTTTCTCCAGCCACTCTGAGCGGCTTCCAACAAAGATTAAAAATACATTAAAATGTCACACATTAAAAACTTCCCTGAACAGGGCTGCCTTCAGATGTCTTTTAAATTTAGGGTGCCTCCATTCTGCATGGACTGGTCGCATGGCAACATATGCAAATGGCTTTAGATACCTATTAGGTCCATAAATTACCATATAGCATATATTCAACACAAAAAACAGTGACAATTTGTTGTTGACAAAGGACGGCTGGACATATACAGGGCCCCATTACCTTCAGTAGCTTAGGGCCTCATCAAACCTCAATCCAGCCCTGGCCACAACTTCCAACAGCCCCAGGCGGCAACGGCCCCAGGGCCTTGGTCAACGGGATGGAAGTCAAAATTATCTCCAGCTCACCAGGTTGGGAGAGGCTGCCTTCATGGGATTCTGTGTTCAGTCAGGACTGGCAAAGTTGTGTGCTGTGCCTGCTCCTTCTGCAGCTAGCTGCCTCTTGAGAGGGTATTGGGTGGGCCTGGCTATCTCTGACGCCCTCTTTCTCTTCTCTCCGTTTTCAGGCCTTCCATGTATCCAGCATGTTTCACTGCAAGCACCAGCCTCGCCACCTGCCGCCAGTCGCCTTGGACACTCCCAGTTCAGACTGCCACACCGATTGCTAGGGCATGTTCGCTGGGGGTCAGAGACGCACTCTTGTCTGGCTGACTACAGGAGCCTTGAACTGTTTGCGCTAGTTGCTTGGCACTTCGCTGCCCACATCGGCGCCAGTTGGGGCAGCCACTGCCTTGCCACCTGCTAGGGGCCACTAAGGAGCTTTTGCTCACTGCCATGCCAACATCCACTGCTGCACCAGCTGCTGGGAGCACCAAGAAGAGGGAAAGGCTGTTAGGGCACCTCTGTGCCAGAGATCCCTTTGTCTTCCCAATGATGGACAGGGCACTCTTGTTTTCCCTTTGGGTTTGTACACTTGAGACCACTCCTTTATGAACTTTCCCTCTATCAAAGGATCCATCACCGCTGCCACTTTGGGTTTCCTTTTAGATGATATTCTCAAGAGAAGGAAATCCCCCATCTTATTTTAACAGGAAGATCTGCCCTTCCTCCTCTCTAGTACTGGGATGATCTCACCCTTGAAACATTATGCACTCGGGCTGGTGGCTCCTTGAGAATCCAGTCTCTGCTGCGCTAGTGATGTCTCTCAGCTGCTTGAAAGGCCAAGCGATGTGTCTTGCAGAAGCATATTCATGAAGGAATGAACCACAGGCTTGGGAGGTGGAGTTGGGAGGAAAGTGCCTGGAAAATCGTGGAGGACCTGCAAGTTCATACCAGGGCACCCTGATGCTGCCAGATACCTCCCACCCTCCACCCCACCCAACGCTTCCACTCCCCATAATGTGAAACGTGTTGTGTTTTTTTGTAATAAATGGTACTGACAATCACCTAGATTAATAACTGACTTACGGGAGGGTAGACTGCATATGGACCTCAGAACATCCCTCATAGCCGAGCACGAGGTTCCAAAAGCACTGGCGGCGCCGTTTGGATCCTGTGATTCCGCTGGCGCAGGATTTGGTACCTGATACAGAATGAGTTCCTGAGATATTTTACCTGTCACTCAAAACAAAAAGTGGTCATGCTAGTCCTCATGGTTGTGAAGATTCAAACCTTTTCCCTCCGGATGTTCTTTCCTATCCAGTCACACCTTTCTTTGAAATCACGCTAATAATGCAGTTGGTTTGAGGATAAATGCTATAGGCAGGATTACAGTATAAAGCCGGATTGGGTCCTAAGGAGCGATGAGGAAATAAGTTTGTGTTTCTCAACCAGCGAGGCATCCCCTCCTGAGGGGCTATGATGGGGGGTGTGTGAGTGTTTCCAAAAATATATATGCTACAATGTGAGTAAAAAACTAAAAGCTGTGAAATTTCAAATGAAAGAATTACAGGAGCCAGGTTTGAAGGGTTCTGTGGGGGTTTTATGTTAGCTGAAAGCGGGGGAAATGGGTTTAAAAGGGTTGAGAAATAAGGAGGAAACAGAGCAGTATCTGTGCATGATCATCCTTGCTGCTAAGGCAAGGAGTGCAACCTTACACATAGAATCATATAATGGGGGATCACTGTAATGCTAAACAAAAAAAGTTTGCAGCTACCTCTTATAAGCTGTGATGTTGAACCCAGTTTTAGAGGCTTGGTTCCTCTGAAATCAGCAGCCTGAAACTTGTATAACCAGACACAGGATTGTAGCAATCTTTTAAGTGCTGGATGCAGTTCAAGCTCAACTGGTTTGCTTCTGTTCACATGCATTGTTGGAAAAAGTGGAATGGGTCACTGGGTTGCTGTTGCCTCTGATGTGTTCTGGGGGATCCCCAGGACTCTTCAGCAATTTGTCTGGGGTTCCTTAATGAGAAGGAAAATGGCAGATCAGTTTCCCTCAAAGACCGTTTGTCCACCATTACCAATGTTTGCCTGCTTGTACTGAAGCGCCATTTGTGTGTGTCCACGGCTTCAGACTTTTGGACTTTGCTTGAGGCAAACTTCTCTCAAAGGCTGACTTGTCACTGGTCTAGTTCAGTGGTTCCTAATTAGCTAAATACTGTGGCCCACCTGTTTTTCAAAAGCCAATCCATGGACCCCCTACTTTTGATCATTTTGATATCACTGTGGGACTTTTCCTTATGTGAATGGTGCCACAGATCCCACGGGTGGGACCCCTGGGGTCTGTAGTCCACCAATTGGGAACCACTGATTCAGTGAATTGAACAGAATAGAAGGCAAAGGGCAGAGGGAGCCAAATTTTGAGCCCGCCTAGGATACTGTTGAAATCTGAAAGATCCAAATCCACCCCTGAAGGAGCTCAAGGTGGTAAACATGGTTCTCCATCCATCCCCCATTAAATTTTCCAAAGCAATACTGTGGTGTAGGCTAGGCCGAGAAGCAGCAACTGGCCCAGGCGCCTAGTGAACTTTGTGTCCGATTGGAGATTCGAGCCCTGATATCTGAAATGGCTACATCACTGGTGTACACCATTGTCAAAGTCACATGGTGCAAGGTGTTTTTTGGGAGGGAGTCCTCAAATCATGACTTTCAGAAACCTGACCTAGAAGAGCCTTGTTTCTGGAACCCTGACCCCTCAATGACTATAGAAGAGAGAAGCAGAGACACTGTTGTGGACCTGGGATGTGAGACCTTGGTCTGGCCTTGGTCTTGGCTGTGGAGGAGAGTGTGCTCTAAAGGGTTGAGGCCTCTCAAAGCCAAATGCAGCTCATGGGTTGGTGGGAGTAGATGGGCCTCTTTTCTGCTGCTCATTTGGGACTGACAAATTCATCGTAGGTCATGGGTAGGGAATGTTCCTAGTCCAAGGGCCCCATTCCATCCTGAGGGTAAAATGCCAGTGGAGGGCAGGAGCCAGAGACAAAAATGGGTAGAGTAAGGGATGTAAGTAGGCTCATTTAATAGTAATAATAATAAATGTTATTTATACCCCACCCTCCCCAGCCAAGACAAGGCTCAGGGTGGCTAACACCAGGTATAAAAACAATTGATTAAAATACAACCTAAAAACAAGATTAAAATACAATATTAAAATGCAGCCTCGTTTCAGTAGAAACTCAAATCAAAAACTTTTTGGGGATGAAAACGTCAAATCTTCACCAAGGCTAACTATCCAGACTGGTCCTACGTGGGCCAGAAAAAAGCCAGGGGAATCCCCAAGTAGGAGTTCCATCACAGAAGGAAAAAGGAAAGAGCGGGAGGGGATCAAGTTGATTCCAAGCCAAAGGCCAGGCAGAACAATTCTGTCTTACAGGCCCTGCGGAAAGAAATCAGATCCTGCAGGGCCCTGGTCTCATGAGGCAGAGCGTTCCACCAGGCCGGAGCCAGTGTTGAGAAGGCCCTGACAGTGGTTGAGGCTAATCTGACTTCCTTAGGGCCCAGGACCTCTAGGGTGTTTCTGTTTAAGGACCTTAAGGTCCTCCGCGGGGCATACTGGAAGAGGTGGTACGAGACACACAGACACACCTTTCTGTTCTCCATCCAGGCATCCTCAGAGTTCAAAATGTTACACCTGTGTTCAGTTGGCTGGACTAGGAGGGGTCTTGAGACCTGCCACGTGGGTGCTCCTGATCTTGGGTAGCATTAAGGACTGTCTTTTACTGAGTTTGAGCCTTCAAGCGCAGCCAGCCTCAGAGGAGTAGCTGAAAGAAACTGTTAGGTGGGGATGAGTACAAGCTCAGAACCAAACGGAGAGCAGCCAGTATAGTTTAGTGGGGGAGAGGAGAGTGATATACAAAACTGCCATCATGGCAGGAGAGCTGGCTTTGAGACAGCAGCTTCTCAGAGGCTTAGTAAAGCTGGCCGGTCTGAAAGAGCGGCAGTGCCGTCATTTCTCAGCAGTCCTGTAAGGTAAAGGGACCCCGACCATTAGGTCCAGTCATGACAGACTCTGGGGTTGCGGCACTCATCTCGCTTTATTGGCCAAGGGAGCCGGCGTACAGCTTCCGGGTCATGTGGCCAGCATGACTAAGCCGCTTCTGGCAAACCAGAGCAGCGCACGGAAACTCCGTTTACCTTCCCGCCAGAGCGGTACCTATTTATCTACTTGCACTTTGATGTGCTTTTGAACAGCTAGGTTGGCAGGAGCAGGGACCGAGCAACGGGAGCTCACCCCATTGCGGGGATTCAAACCGCCGACCTTCTGATCGGCAAGTCCTAGGCTCTGTGGTTTAACCCACAGCACCACTTATGTCCCCTACTGCAAAAAATGTTCAGCCCTAAAAGTGAGGAGGGAAGTAAAAAAAAACAGAGACACTGGGCAACCGTAACTATCAGGATTGTTCCACAAACAGAGGGGAAATGAGCTTGTTTTCTTTTTCTCAGAGCAGGAGCACTCTGGCTCCATGTGACAAGAACCCAACTTTGGCATTCCTGCCGCTGAGCTTCACGTTCATTCTCGACTCATCCCTCATCCAAAAGGAGGAGGTAGGGAGGCTGTTTGTAAAGTAGCATTCAGAGAGATGCCCTCTGCAATCTGAAGGTACTGCCACTCTGGAGCAGGTTTATCACCTAGCGAAGGGATGGGGGACCTTTGGCCCGCCATCTAAATGTCGCTGAACTACAACCCCCATGCATGGCCAATGGCCAGGGATTATGGCAGCTGTAGTTCAGCATCTGGACAGCCAAAACTTCCCACCGCCCTGACCTAGCACACTTGGCCGTGAGGTCAGGCATTTTGCTAGCTGCTTAAACATGTAAAGCGGCTGCGGTAAACAACTGTATATGCGTCCACCAGAAGGAAGGAGTGTGTGTTCTGGCCCTCTGCAACTTGGCTGTTTATTAGCTGGGGTTCTCCTCCCAGGGGTTCTCCTCCCAGTGAGCCAGTGTGGTGTAGTGGTTCAGAGTGGTGGACTCGTAATCTGGTGAACCGGGTTCAATTCCCCGCTCCTCCACATGCAGCTGCTGGGTGACCTTGGGCTAGTCACACTTCTCTGAAGTCTCTCAGCCCCACTCACCCCACAGAGTGTTTGTTGTGGGGGAGGAAAAGAAAAGGAGGTTGTTGGCTGCTTTGAGACTTATTCGTGTAGTGATAAAGCAGGATATCAAATCCAAACTCTTCTTCTTCTTCTTCTCCCCCCTTCTGTACCTCAGGCACTTTCCTGGCCAGCTACGGCTCCAGATTGCCGGATCAGCGCACAGCAGCCCCAGAGGAGGCTGCATTTCCAAGCAAGGCACAGCCACCTGTGCTTTCATCAGGAGACAATCTGATATCAACTTTCAGCAACATGAGAGAGGTTTCCCAGCCCTCCTCTCCCACTCGATTGGCTGCACCATCCCCCAGCCTGTTCTTCATAACAGCCTCTCCCAGGAGAGCTGCTGAATCCATTCAAGGCCATTCTCAATGGCTCCTTTATGCAGTGTCCGGGGTGTGCTGGAGGCATGTGACTTCCAGGGCCAAGACTGGGGGTGGGAATAGTCCCAAGCTGGCACCACCAAGTCCTTCCTGGCATCCTGCACAGCCTCTGTTCGAGGCAGAGACAAACAACACTTAACATTTTCTTGCTGGTCTTTTGCACAGGTCTCTTCATGTGCAAAAAAGGGACGTGGGTGGCGCTGTGGGTTAAACCACAGAGCCTAGGACTTGCCAATCAGAAGGTCGGCGGTTTGAATCCCCGTGACAGGGTGAGCTCCCATTGCTCGGTCCCTGCTCCTGCCAACCTAGCAGTTCAAAAGCATACCAAAAGTACAAGTAGATAAATAGGTACCGCTCCGGCGGGAAGGTAAACAGCATTTCCGTGCGCTGCTCTGGATTGCCAGAAGCGGCTTAGTCATGCTGGCCACATGACCCGGAAGCTGTACGCTGGCTCCCTCGGCCAATAAAGCGAGATGAGCGCTGCAACCCCAGAGTCGGTCACGACTGGACCTAATGATCAGGGGTCCTTTTACCC